ATCCTTGATTCCTCTTTCCCTCGATTCTACCTCTGAGAGCTTTCTCAGCTTCTGTCCACTCCTCTTCATCTGCTCTGCTGCCACTCAGGCGGCCATCGCCAGCTGCCTGAAGAGCAATACTCCCACCGACCCCACAGGTCTCCTCAGCTCCACTCTATCCCCCTTCAATCCAGGGCAATCTTTTAAAAGTAAGAATTGGATCATGCTACTTCCTACTTATGATGCCTCAGTGACTTCCCACTCCACTCCCATCACCTGTTCCAGCCCCTGGGCTCTCTCTCCCTCACACTGTACCATGGCTATTCCTTCTCATCTCTCAGGTCTCTGCTTAAATGCCACTGCCTCCAGAAGTCTTCCCTGACTGCCATTCTAGCTCAGTGTGGAGGACTAAAGAGAGTTGCAAATCCTTTGACATTCCTCCAACTAGAGGTGGGCTTTGTTTCCTATCCCCTTGATGCTGAGCCAGGGCTGATGGTGATGATATGCCCATTCCAGGCCTTGCCTTGAAGAAGACTGCAGCTTCCCCCTTGCTCTCTCTCCAAGCCCTGGGATACCACGTCTAAAGCCCAACAGCTGGCTGAAGCACTAGTTAGAGGGGCCCTGACACCATATGGAGAGGGAGGCAACCCAGCCAAGCCCAGCCTTCTAGCCATCCCCACCAAAGCGCCAAGTACATGGGTAAAGCCGTCTTGGACCTTCCAGCCCAGACCAGCTGCCAGCTGAATATCGCCAGCTGATTCCAGTTGATGCCACAGAAGGCAGAAAAATCGCCCAGCTGAGCCCTGTCCAAATTTCTGACCCACTAAAGCAGGAGATAGGTTAAGTTTGGGAGGTATTGCTGTTACATAGAATTAATAACCAGAACAGAGCATATTATTTACTTCCATCCTAGCAATCATTTGATGACACATTGTCTTTCTTTTCATTCTTTATGTCTGATTCTTCATCTCTCTGCTCCACTGGATGCTAAACTCCACTGTGGCAGGAACCAAATCTATCCTGTTCACCACTGTAAACCAGGGCCTGGTACATGGCAGGGGCTCAAAAAATATTAGGTGAATAAGCAAGTCTACAGGAACAGAATATGATGGGCACACAGAGGAAGCACCAGGTCAGACTCAAGATAAGTTTCCAAAGACAGTGACATCTAAATGCTGAGGCCTGGAGAGCAAGCAGGTGGCAGGCTCAAAGCGCAGAGCCACAGGGGTTGGGGCCTGTCCCAACCATACCAATCACGGGCATGCTTTGTCTCTTGAGAGAAGACAGAATATCTGAGAGCAGGGACTGTGTCTTGTTAATCTTTGTGTCTTCAGCACAGAACACAAGAAAATAAGAGGTCCTCATTACATGCATTTCAAATAAATGCATGGCTGGCATGGCTTCCTACAGAGAGGAGCCTGAGCTCAGAAGTAGGGAACTGTGGGTTTCCCACTCAACAGCTTGCTTGGGGTCCTTTGTCAGATAAGCCACTCGGCTTGTCTGGTGCTCAGTTGGCTTGAAATAAAACCACTGACTCCTCTCTATGCCCTTGGCTTATCATCAGGATTATAAGAGAGCAAAGATGGCAGAGTTCTCTGAAAAGGATGTGATTAGAATATAGAATAGAAACATGTGACAGTAGAAAGGAAATATGTGATGGTATTATTCTCTCAATAGTCAACCTGCCCCAGGTAAACCCTCAGAGCCATCATTTGAGCCTTTCTTTGAATTGCATGCCACCCAGGTAAGTCTAGCCCTCGACGCAGCACCTCCTGGGCAACTATAAATGTTTTTATTGTCTAGGTGGGTAGGGAGCAGCTGGGGCTCACAGCAAAAGGAGGAACACTGGAGTCAGGAGACCTGAGTTCCTATTGTGTCCCCCAAAAGTCATGTTACAACCGTACCCCCAATCTGATGGTGTTAGGAGGTGGGGCCTCTGCAGGTAGTTAGGATTAGATGAAGTCATGAGGGTGGAGCCCCCATGAATGGGATCAGTGCCCTTATAAGTGTCACTAGAGCTTACTTCATCTCTCTGCTCTCTGCCGCTTCGGAATAGAAGGAGAATCAGCAGTCTACCAGCCAAAAAACAAAGCGGGGGAGAGGGGGCTGTTACCAGAACACAAGCATACTAGTACCTTGATTTTGAAATTCCAACCCCCAGAACTGTGAGAAATAGATTTCTGTTTATAAACCACCCAGTCGATAGTGCTTTTTTATAGCAGCCAAACAGACTAAGATGGTTCCCACCCCAGTTCTGCCACTAATTTGCTGTAAGATCTTGAACAAACTAATTCCCTCTCTGAACCAAACCTCTCAGCCAGAGTGGACTTTATAGACTGAGTAAATCCCCTCCCTCCCTTTCTCCCACTCATTGGCAAACACTCCATCTCTGCCCAGCACTGGGCTGATTGCAGTGGGAATAAAATGACAAGACCTGGACCCTGCCCTCAAGGCTCTGAGAGACTACCTGGAAGACAGAGAGACACTCTTAAAGGAAGTATCTGTGAGACAGAAGGACAGGGCTTCTCTGGAAAGCCAGGACGAAGACCCTACGTGAGGCTCCAAAGAAGAGGCAGCCAGGGGTCAGTGCTGGTTGGCCCTGGGGTCAAAGGGCAGATCCAGACAGACTCCTGTTTCCAAAACCCACTGGGGGCTCTGCAGTCACATCAGCATCATGCAGAGGCCCACACCAGCTGCACTGGCCTGGCCCACTCCCTAATTAGACTTTCATACTCTGTCAAGCAGCCTGCTTAGCCCGACTGCCAGCTGGGGCTCCTGTTCCGTCTGGTGGCTCCGGTTAATGAACCCAGGAGGGGCTGGCCAAGCTCATTACAGGCAAAGCCAGGGAACAGGCGACCCCGCCTTTCCCCTCTCGTCCCTGTTCACACTGAGAATGGGAAGGGATCTGACTCCAAACCAACAGGAAGGAGAGGGGGCAGGAGCTGATGCTCCAGACGGCCACAGAGGCTTGGATGGCTCCAGTGACAGCCCAGCCTGAGACCTGGGCTTCCCAGCGTGTGTCTCCCAGTGCGTGTGGGTGTCTGTGGTTTTAGGGGAGTGTTCGGATTCCAAAGCTGCCCCCAGGCTCCACCCAGGCCCTTTCCTGTCTCAGGCCGAGGAGGCAGAACCAGAGTGACGGTTCGAATCCGTCTCCAGTGGCTGGTCTGCTTTCTCAGAATGTCACTGTCTTCATCTGTAAGATGAGATAGTAATACCCACCTGGCACAAAAGAAATGCTCAGTTAACCCGCTCAATAAATTATTGTTGCTGTTGTTATCAGTAAAAGACGGGTGAGAAAAGGCACCAAAATGTTCGCAGTGGTTGATTCTGACCGTCAGGACTGTGCATCTTTTTCTCCTATTTTTCTGTACTTTCTAAATTGTATACAATGAGAATTTTATTTTTGTCACTTGAAAAAAAAAACATAAAATTTCTCCAAAAAAGATATCAGAAAAATGAGATTCTGTATGTGAAAGGACCTCGACAGTGCCTGGGAGAAAGTTATTAATAGAAGCTCCCTTCTGCAGTGAACATTTAAAGAGATGAAACTGAGTAGAAAAACAAGCACAATATTTGCAAAGGAGTAATGAATTTTTGCCTTTTAATAAAGCCATTTCTTATTCCCAAATGTCAAGAGAAAAAGGCACCAAAGCAAGGGTTCAAATGCTGTGGCCCAGACTGAGGAAGATGTTTAGAGGTGTTTAAAGGACGCGTGCTCCCTGCCCAGAGTGGAATGCAAAATTACAAAGAAGGGCAAAAGCAACCCAAGCATCCAACGACAGATGAATGAATAAACAAAATGTGGTCTGTACATAAACAGAACACTATTCAGCCTTTAAAAGGAAGGAAATTATGTCACATGCGACAACATGGATGCACCTTAAGGATATTATGCTAAGCGAAATAAGCCAGTCACAAACCACCAGTACTGTGTGATTCCATTTAAATGAGGTCCCTAGAGTAGTCAGGTCCATAGAGACAGTAGAATGGTGGCTGCCATTCTACTGGGGGGGGGGGGGGGGGAGTGAGTGTTGGATGGGTAGAGTGTCAGTTTGGGAAGAAGAAAAGTTCTGGAGATGGATGGTGCTGATGATACAGAAATGCCACTAAGCTGTACACTTAAAAATGGTTAAGATGGTAAATTTTATATTACGTGTATTTTACCACAATTTAAAAATATACAAAAGGGAGAAAAGAGATTAAACACAGAGGAAGAAGGATCAGGTCCGGTGTGTTGAAGCAAGTCTCTAGTCTCCGGGGGCTGAGGGCCATTTGCTGGAGAGATGCTTCGAGGAGGGAAACATCTGGGAATCATGGCAAAGAAAAAGGGCTGCAAGTGGTGCTGCCCACGGGCGAATGTCTCCCGGGGAGGCTGGCTTCTGCCTGCACTAGGAGAGTTTTGTAGCTGGAGGACTCAGAGTCCCTACAGACCTGAGAGGACCAGGCCTCCAGGAACGCAGCACGTGGGGTGTGAGAAATTAGCACAGAGTCTATGTGTCTCAGGTAAGTAATAAGGCAGCATGGGTCCCCCAGGGAGTAATGAAGAGGAATGCTTTGAGCATCAGTTCCATGGAGAAGAAATGCTGAGGTCCTTGTGCTGAAGGAATTTGGAAGTGGGCTGGCAGACCCTGAAGTACAAGAGAACTGGATAGGGCCAGGATGACCTGAAGGGAGGTGGGGAGTCACCTTGGCCCAAATGGAGGCTAGCTCCCACAGTGCCTGGTGGATGAGAGTGACAGCAACCATTTATTGAGCACTTACTGTTTGTGAAAGCAGTTTTCTCGGGTTGCTCATTTATTCCCTACAGCATCCTTATGTGGAGGAACTACTCTCTCTTCACTTTCCACCAAGGAAGATTGAGGCTTGGAGGTGTAGCGTCCTGCAGACCCAGGGCCTCAGAGGCAGCCATCCCCCTCCGATGAGTCCTTGCCTCCATTCAGCTTTGTGGCCAACCGCCCACCCACCCCAGCGCTG